GAAAATATTTTTATTTACTTTGCAATAATGTTTAATACTCGCGAAATTAATTGTGTCTTTCCGCAGTAAGCCATGCCAATTTTTCAAAGTCAAAATAGACTCGGCTGCTTTGCGACCGATAAAAACGGGACCGCGATCTTCTTCGGACAATACCTAACCAAGTTTCATAAAACGCAGTTAAATTCTAATGATTGTATACGAGAACTCTCATACCAGACTTGCATGCATCGTGCATAGTCTTTGGAAAAACCCTAAGTTCATAATTGATTTGGAATTGTCATAATTGTTCTTCATTGAATAAAAGCCGATAAATTTTTGCAATGGTTTTAAATATTTCACGGAACAGAAATTAGGTTCTCTAAGTTCAGACAGTTTTGGACATAAATGCCATCTAACCACTCACCTTTTGTTCATGAAATATCTTCAGCTTTCTTTTATGCGCTTACTCTCGTCGCAACTTAAAATAACCTTCCTGATGTTTTTTTCAGTCACAACTATTCAGACAATGTCGTTTCCTTTACTACCATATTGCTCTTTAGGCCCGGGAAGAAATTATTCGTTTCAGGGGAGCTAAATACGTTTCTACTGGAACAACGTCAAAATATACAACTGTTAAAAAGGCTGCAAAATGGTTTTCAGTACAATTTGCACAATTAATCATTGTTTACTCAAACGCATTATAAACTATGCATCGGAATAAGGCTTACTGAAACATTAAGTACCGTAACTATATGTAACTCATCTATTATTTTACCTACAAATTGGCATAGCATGTTTTCAATTACCACTCGAATAGACGAATAATTTCAGTTCAACGTGGGAAGAACCAATATGAAAATTGTACATATGTTATATTAAACACATATAAAATATAAATTTAAAATATAAAATATTTAATCAAACTGCATTTTATGAAATTCGTGACTATTTTGTTGCGATCCCTTTTGTCAATATCGATGTTGGCCAACAGGATTTCGAAATATCTGTGCACGAGTCTATGGATAAAGTACGATCTTGAAAAAAAGTAAGATGATAAAAGGCAAAGGCATATCTTTGCTCCTATGAGCTTCCACTCTTCTATAAAACCAATATCTTTTGCATACACCTCAATTCTTTGTTGTATATGAAACAAATTCAGAATTATTTGTGACTTGTCAGCCATGAAGGTTTCTGTGTCGTCAATTAATCATCGTCCAACCAGAAGAAAGGTTTCATCTTGGCTGCCTTCGATTGCTAACGCGGGTTTAACACATTCGTCACGGGTAACAATCGAACAAGGTAGAGTTGAGTATTACGTCATCAGTTTTGCGTACCTGAGTTACGCGGGTTGGACACTGCCTATCAGCTGGGTCATAAGTGTTAAAATGGCGGCCAACAACGTTGAAAAGGAGTAAGTGAGAGGATTTTTATAGTTTTATGCTTTTGTTTGTTAATAGAATCTAATATAGCCTTTGAATTTATCTTTACTTTTTTTATTTATATAAAATAGTTAAAGTAATTCAAGCATTATTTCCTCCGCCCAAAGGTGCAAATAATTCCCTGGGCGCAGCCATATTTGTTTAAAACCCGATCAACTCGTGCTTGTTCGATTGCTATTAAAGGTATGCATGCGCATATGAGCTTTTCCGGTATCGACAGTACTTACACGGGTTAGGCAATCGAAGGCAGCCTTTCAGTTGTAGTGGAGTAGAAATCGGTAAACATGTGTGAATTTGTAGAAGTTTACGCGAATTTAACTCGCCATTTGAAAATTGTCATTTTCTTGAGTTTTGTATATATTAATAGATAGATATATTATAATCTACAAGATAGATATAAGATATATTATAATATTTAAGGTAAATTATATATATATATATATATATATATATATATATATATATATATATATATATATATATATATATATATATATATATATATATATATATATATATATATATATATATATATATATATAGAATATGCAAAAAAATAATAACAAATTCTGGCAAGCCTAGAGGGTGATCGGAGAGGCCGTTCCCCAGATAATAAGGACATAAATGGTCAAAACCGCTCTAAATGGGCTATAAAGATACAATACATTCACAAAGAACAGGTATATAGAATAAGTTATCAAGTACATTGAGTCAGGTTACATCAATATGAATGGATCTAAGCCAACTGACAGCTGGTCGCGGAGTGCAGTGAGGAAACGCTGATACCTCCGTTTTTATAACGCGTTTCCTCACGAAAACTCATGGAACCTCAGTTTTTCATATTTAATCCTGTAGTTGTTTGTCATTGTTTAAGTCTTTCACATTTATTTGATTTTCATTTGAAATTGTATGGAATATTTTGGGTCCTCCAAATCTGATCTTATCAGCAAACAATATTCCACAACTATCATCACAAACCGAACTCGACTTTATTGTAAATAAATTTTTAATCAAAGTCCCTTAAAATAGTAGATTTGCAATAAACATCACTATACAAAGCTATTTAAACATCTTTCATTGACTATAGAAATGAATTGCAAGAAATGACATCTCTTACTTATTTTATAATAGTTTCATCTACATGTACATGTATATATACATACAGAACAGAGATAAAATTACAATTAAAACAAAGTAAAGCCATATATATTTTTTTTTTTTCAAATTGATTTTTTTACAAAACTAAAATATGTTTCCACTCTTGCTTCAAATAAACCGTAGTTTTCCTATTCGATTGTAAATATTTGAATGGGATACAAAATCTTATATGTTATTTTTTTTCTAAGATTTGGACTTGAATTTCTGCCAGACTAGTACGGCATTAATGTTAACTGCGTAATAATATAACTAAAATATATCGAATGAATTTTAAAGAGTAAAATTAACCCTTTCACGGCCATATTTTCGGCGTATTTGCCATATGGACGGCTTTAGTCGTTTCTATAATAATAATAGTAATAATAATAAATTAATAATAATAATAATAAATATAATGAAAATGATACATCGACAATAATTATTATTATACTAACAATTTTGGAAACATATATAATCATTCTAATACTAATTACAAATAATAATAATTATATTAATAAATAATATATAGTAATTTCTTAGAAAATTCTCTGGCAAATAGGTAAACAATAAAACAATAACCCTCTGGCAGCGAAAGGGTTAACGAACAATTGTCAAAATCAATCATTCTCTAATATCAACATAATGCACTTCTAGCATTAGTGATTATTAATGGACCTAAGTGATCGCGTATCAATAAATGTTAGGTGTGATTTTGATGCTATAGAATGTTGTAGCACTAAACATTTAATATGTTGTGTTCGTTTTACGGTCATAGAGATCATTTTGAAAGTGATAAATTTCCTTGTTCTTTGATTATATCTCATCTTTAGGTATGTTGAAATAACGAACAAATGAAAACAAAAATGTTGTTTTGTCTAAAACATCTTGATTAGAATAAAGATATATGGCTATGTTTTGTTTTTCTAATGTTAAATACGTTTTATAGCAATATTTTCCTTGATAATTGTTATCATCGGTGACCCAGACGTTTTACTGTATACATGTATTAAATGTAGTAAATTCGGAATGTGTACCGTGGTTTCCGATTATGACATCATGTCGAAGTATATTGAAAAACAAAAAAAAAGTTAACCAGCTTGATAACAATACAGATTTCTGGCTTTGTTTTGTTTTCCTACTGGTAAAAAACTTTTTTTTAATTATTTAATAAAAGCAATCTTCACGTCAGACTTCACTTAAGCCTGTGATTGGCCTTGTAACAAGGGACTCTTATTGGTGTATACTCAAAATAAGCTAAGGTACGCCCCTGGAAACACAGAATATAAATAGATCATGTATGCAAACAAGTGATAAAATTAATAGTTTACACCGCGAGATAATAATGACATTTCGTAATTTTACTGTTTTAAAGTGCAAACGCTGATGACTGAGAAATTCTCGATACAAACATTAACAATTTAATTAATTTCGGACAATTATGACACGTAAAAATGCAGGAGTAAACAGTATTTCCTCGGTAATATTTATATACAAAGTTATGTAATCATGGCATTATGAATAAGTGCTGTAATTATTTACCAAAAAGAAAACAAACATGGTAATGCCAGGCATTACGGAACGTAGGGGTTTCTATTCAGGTGCACGTTTGTTCCTTAAATAATAATTCAAGGAGGAGCACCTTAGGTCTATCCCGACAGTTAAGCTAGATATCTCAATTTAAAGTTTACAGTGATAGATGTAAACATAAACCAAAGAATTAAGAAAGAAAACCAAAAAGGTTAGCGACTTTGTCGGGCTTTGCAAGTATATTTGGCACGAGCCTTATTCATTCCATAAGCATACCCATTAACAGTTTAACGTTGTATCCTTTGAAAGTCAATATAGACTTTTTATTTAACTATAACAAAATGATACTTACATAATATACTAATATAAAATAATCAATTAAGAATATACTTAAGCGTACGTCACTTGTTTTCATAAGGGGCTACATCTAAGCATTTGTTCTACGACAACTATGACGAAGCAGTATTTATAATACTCTTTTTGAAAATACACCAGCTAAAATGACAGCAATATCAAACTATATTTGTACTGAGGTAGCTCTTTAAATGGAAGCAAAGTTGTTAAATATAGCATAATCACAGTTCTGAAATATTCTTATTGTATCTTTATCACAGTGTTTTAAAAATACAAGAAATCCTATAAATTTCCCTTACAGCTATACAACTTTAAACTTAATAATCGTAGCAATGTGGCAGTTTGTTTTCAATTAAAACATGTCAAATATTACGATGAAATATTATCACTAGCCTTATATTTCATCAAGCTAAAATACGATTTTAGATATTAATACTCCTGACAAGCATTTTAAAATGAAATTGAATATGAAAAGTTAAAACTGCGTAAAAAATATGCAGTTATTAGGATAATACCAGCTTATTCAGTTATATGTGCAAATATGATGTTTATTTTATTATGTAGATGTTTTGAAGAAATAAACTGCAATGATGAATGATAGGCAGTCTGATATATCAAACGATGCGATGCCACTGCCGGCAATGTTCCCAATTCAAGCCAGTTCAGAGGAAGCTTCTAGAAGAAATGCTTCTACGACTGAGGTTTTAGATGAAACAAGCACCAGTATGGAAAATGAATGTTCAGACGAAGGAACAATCCCAAAGAGACCTTGTCTAGGACCAGGCATTGTTCAACCCTTAGGTTCAGGTTCATCGATTTATACAGAGATATCTCCTACACATGAACAATGGGCATTCAACGCACTTTTAATAAATCTGGCAAAACAGATAAACGACACTGATCTCGAACAAATGAAAGAAATGTATAAAGGTAATAACACTTTATACTACTTTAGAATATTAATTGTATCATTGTTTGGGAACCTTTCTGTTGCAATTGTGTCAGAGTTAAATCGTATACATATAAATTCACAGTACGTTAACTGGAGTGCAGATACTAGTTACCCGCACTCCAGAGCATGTCCATTGATTGGCTTACTTTTGCTGGGGTTTACTAATTGTGACGACAGAGAAACAGAAAGCGACAGAAATATCATATTCATATCGTCGTATGTTGTTTCCTTTTCCCAGGGGTTTCATATTGTGACAACAGGGAACGTCAGGGAACGTGCTTTTTTGTTTGACTATGATACAAAAGAGAAAGAACATCAAAACACTCGGCAATCTGATTAATACTCGGGGGCTACGCCCCCCCCCCCTCGTACACATCAAATTGTGGTTCGATGCTCTTTCTATTACTTATACTGCCACCGTGTTTAATTATGATTACATTGTGTCTATTTCAGAGATTTTCCTTCTCAATCAATTTGCTCGAAATTTCTAAATTATAAAAGGAAACTTATTACCCCTACCCATTTAAGATATTGTGGTATATGTACACGGATGCTTCATACATAGATAGCATTATCCTTTTGTCTTTATGACCTCAAAATCAATACGGATGATCTATTCGCCATGGACAATGTCCCTACTCCGTTTAATATACTAAGGCGTCATATTAAAGTTTGATCAGAAAAGGACTTTACACAAGTGCCACTGTGCTCTCGATCTCTGACCTAACTGTCTTACAATAATTTGAAAACATTTATTTGCCACCGGCATTGCTCCTTCTTACAACAGTAAATCTAAGCATTCTGCATCGGCAAAGTAATACTGTGATCGTATCGTATCATTATCAAAATGGCAATAGAAATGTATATGGGTCGCAAAGCAGATAAGAGGTAGGTCGTCCTCACATTACTGATAAGGCCAGGATAACAACTCAGATGAACGTACTGACAGAAAATAAAAATCCTGTCATGTTAAAATATTACACGTATTGACAAAAATTTTATTGCAACTTAGTCAAATATTGTGGTGCAGTCTTTACTTGAGTCCGCACAGTGATGCTATTGCAAGGTTTGAAGTTTTAAATGCCAATACTCGTTTTTATGTCCCCGGGTATATAGTAATCAAACTGTCTGCCTGTTCGTCTGTCCGTTCATACGTACGAGGTCAACCTAAAACGGCAAGTTTATTATTTTCAGTTTTGCCGATTGGCTTCTTGATTTATATACTTATACAATATTCGTGATCTAGGCATGATACCATTTTTACCAAGTTATTGCACTTTTCAGTACTTTGAAAAATGATATTGTTAACCTACGCCGGATATATCTAAGGCTCTTTCTATACTTATGGATTTGTAATTTCAACACTAAAAAACAGTTATAATTTCAAATACATAATGTCGTTAATCATTAACCTTTATATGACAGGAGGGATACCAAGAGGAATTTTAAAAGGCATTAAGACACCGATGGAGCTGTTCGACGTAATGCGGAAACAAATGTTTCTATCGCCGATGAACTTGTTACAACTTCAGGGTCTTTTGTGGAGTATAAAGAAACTTGAATTGATGAATATGGTCATAGACTATGCAAGACAGTCGGAAAATATCGTTTATGTCCAACCAGCATCAGTGACACCAGGTACAGTTATTAAAAAGTTATTAAAACAATATTTTTTGTTTAGAGGCTGTTCTGACAGATGATAACAGAGACCTCATCAGTACCGACAATTATTGGCAACAATCTTGTGAGAGTTGCAATTTTATAAGAATCACAGTGATATCATGATTTAATCTATATGTTTCAAACACATGTCGCTGCAGACATTGTATTACATATCTTAAGTGTTGTTTTGATAAATATATATAATTTATTTGTTCGACTTTGAAGTTTCACAGAGTCTGATCCGGATTCAATGGGTGTATAGTGTCTAGCATAAGGAAAGAAATCCTGGAATCGGACGAGGTTTGAACCAACACGGATAGCGATCCTTATATAACAAGTGCGACGCGTAAATCACCCAAAAATGCCACCACTGTTGTTTTATAACTGTTTTTTTTTTCTTTCAGTAAATGGTTACACACATATAAAATTTCATCTACGCGGCAAACAATTTGGAAAAATGAACAGAGGCGAATTACAGTACTTGCGGACGATTGCTGCGAATGCAGTACTTATACCATCTTCTTTTGTAATAATTGATGGTATCAACCCGTCTTCAAGTGTTATAATTACATTGCAGTTCCCAGAGCAGCATGCAAATATCTTCAGGAATTTGTTGGAAAAAAGGGAAATAGAGTTAGGAGAGCTAATAGAATTTGGTGTTGATTCGATTACAATAGGAGATAAAACATTTCATATAAACGGTTTGTAAAGATTGATTTTAGACAATTGTCATTGAATTCTTGTTTTCCTCAAGTTTTAAAAGACATTCACTGGCAGAGGTTTGTTTTCGACATGAGGGTGCTTTTAGATCTTTGTCAATAACTTGCACAGTATACTATATGAAGAAAGAGTGATCCCTCGGAAGCATTAAGATGTATATTGTTATGCACCTGGTTATCCGTCCGTCCGTCTGTTAGTCCGTCCGTCTGTTTGCAGGTGTTCTTGTTTTTTTTAAAAACTGGTGGATGGGAATTCAAACTACTTGGCAGAAATGACGATGTGCAGAGCGCAGGATAGTCCTTTTTCAGGTCAAGGTCAAGGTTACGCTTAGTCATCTTATTTCTATATCCTATGTTTTTGTCCGCACTGTATCTTTTGAACCGATAGAAGGAAAATTAAAACTTTTTTGCATAAATATAACTTACATTAAAAAGGTGTGCACAACACAAGTTTAGACTTCGTTAATCTAAAAATTGGCCCCACCCCGGGGATTTAATGATTTACATAGACTTATGTAGGAGTTTTCGTGTCAGGTCTTTATCTTTTGAGCCCATGGAAAGAAAATGAAACTTCTTGGCAGAAATGTTAATCATAATGTGAACATGCACGGAGTGCAGGTTTGACCAAACTAAGGGCAAGGTTAAGGTCGCTCACAGTCATTTTGTACCAATTTCAAAATTCTGTGACGCTCTGCTTTTTTGAAACTGATAGCATGAAGTTAAATATATTCGGCAGAAATATTTATATTAGTGAGATGATGTGAAGAGCGCAGAATTGGACTACCTAAGGTGAAGGTCAAGGTCACACTGAATCATTCAAAATCTTCATATAAAGTGTATATATTACAAAGGATGATTACAATGTATCAATTAATTAATATGTTTCCTCCTAATAAATATATGAATTAACCTCCAAACTTTAAAGTCTTAATTTTTTTTGCCTCCACTTTAGGGGGGGGGGGGCGGGTTTAGATTTACCATTGTCTATCCGTCCGTCCGTTCTTCCGTCCGTCCGTTCTTATTTTGTGTCGCACGTAGCTCAAAACTGTAGCAATATTATAACTAAATAGAAAAGTTTTGAGGCATAATGGGCCTATAAACATGTATATACCATATGAGAGACAATCATTATTTTGCTCTCTTCAATCCTGCAAAACTTATATAATTATGAGGTATTACAAAAATTACATCACGTTCCGAAACTTAAGAAGAATGTTGGTCATCATGTTTTGTTGTGCACATTGAGTTTCGCTTTTTGATTAATCTAGAGTTTGTGGAGTTATTGCCATTGACTTAGTTAAAACCGTTTCAATATGTTGTGTTATTTGATTCTTGAGTGCCTTAGTTTGAATCAACCAACTTAACAGGAATAATAACCAGCATTACTGTGAAGCTATGCACCTGAGACATTGCATGTGGACTTTTTCAGTTTTGTAAGAGTTAAAACCTTGACGTAAGGTAGTATAAATTTGCAATTTTTAACTTGTTCAAGCTTGCACAAAGAGTATTTGACCTGTAGGCCTGAAATTTTTCAAGAATGTTGGTACGCATGTTTACTTATGCACCTTGGGGTTCGCATCTGGATTTATTCAGTAATTGTTAAGGTCCTAATAACTTAGTAAAAAATTTTTAGTTTTTAACTTGTGACATATATAGCCCACAAATTTTTTGACCTAGAGTCATAAGATTGACAAAAAAGTGGAGTGTCGGGACATCAGTGTCCTATGGACACATTTGCTTTTTTTCGGTTAAGATTATATTTATTGAGGACCTTTTATAGGTGTATATGATTTAATTAAATTGAAATGAGACAATCGTATTATGTACATAGGAAGAAATACTGATGTAATAAGTTTAGCCCACAGAATTTTGAATTAATGCTAAATTTTAAAAGCTTTAAATTAAAAACACATTTTCATATGCCCAAACATATTATATTTATGTTAAGCATAGATATTTTGCATGAACCATTCCTTTTTGACATCTACAAAATTGATGTAAAACGTGCTCCTGATGTCAATATTTGTCATGCCCCTTGGGTCACATAGATAGAAAAACTTATTTTCATATATGTATTCTAATGTTACAAATCCCAGATATCGGTTATTTGGCATGTATCCTTCCATAGAAGAACCCTGCTATTGTTCTAAAAATCATTTCACTGATATCAAAAATCGGATGTGCCCAGTAGGAGATGGGTAGGTCTGTCACATTTAACATGTACACAGATTTGTATAGTATACATGTTTTAAAAAGTCATTTTCCTCCAATAAACATTATGTATGGCATAGAGATTTATAATGTATCATCACTTTGTAAAAGTGTAGAATTATCACTTTTGTGATGGATGTTTCTGTGAGTAATATAAATGTTAACGGAGGTACTACGAAGAAATTATTTGAAAGCACAGCATTTTTCTGGTTATTTAGGCATCATATTATGTGCTTTTGAATTCCTGGTATAATATTATTCATATGTTTTTTGAATTTTTATTATTTAAAACCAACATTATTGTTGTTTAAAATCACTACATATACCCCGTTTCAATTGCATGGAAATATATAATCACGACTTTATGCTTCAATATTAGTTTTGTAAGGGCATCATATATATTTATTTCTGTGAAAAGAGCAAAACTCTTTGGCATGTAACAATATAGATCTCAATATTGATAAAATATATTGATAATTGAAATAAAACATGTTTTGGACAAATGTTATGAATGGGTATCCTCGATGTTTAAATTTTTTTTTTGATAGTTTTAAATTTTATTTACCTAAAACAAAATTACATTCGGGCGTATTTTGCCACGCTGTGCGGTGCTCTTGTTTAATCATTCTGTCAGCGCGATTTTTCTTGAATAATCATGGAAATTAACTTTCTATAAGTTTCATGTAGTTATGCATATATTCTATTTAAGAAAATCCTGCTGAAAATTCAAGAACTTTCACTGATGGGGACGTGGATGCGTCTATTAAACTACACTGGGCAGAAACCAAAATTGTAAATCTTGAAGAGGAAAATAAAAAACAATCAGACAAAATCTATGAACTAGATAAGCAAATCTTAACATTGCAAGCACAGAATGATACGTTTACTACTGCATTTAAAACTAAACAAGGAATATTCTCAGAGGATAAAAAGAACCCAGAAGAGCTATTGTTTGTAGCAAACGAGATAGAAGGGGCACTAACACAATTCAATACCACACTTGAAGATATTTCGAAGGAGAATTGTAAAAGGGTTACCGTTCTGCAGCTATTACAAGCACATGCAACTCTTATAGCATCTGTTTGTTGTCAGGATGTTTCGATGATTTTTCAACATATTTCCACTAAGGTACGACATTCTTGTCGTTGATTCTATGCATTATTTTATCAACAACACAAAAATATCTAAATGCATCAATACAAATACTTTAAATTTCAATATATTGTCGCAGAAGTAATGGCACAAAAAAATTATATGACAGAAATACAGTTATTCGATAGAATCATGTTTCGAAAGCATGTGAAATGTGTCGAACAAATATTGTTACTCTATTATTTGAACTATTTTAGCATTAAGGCAAATAGAGTATAATACGTGTGTAATATAAGCCTGTAGGAAAAAGAAAAAAAAGAGAGAGGAAAAAAAAAACAAACAAAAAAACCGAATGTCTTTTATGTTGTATGTTACTTGCATTAGGATCAACTTATAAAGGTAAATAAGTAGAAAACAAAGGAATGTTAATTCTTTAATCCTCCTAATCAATAAAATTACTTTGATAAGCATGGCAGTTTGAAATTGAAATTATGAAAATTGCTTCAGATTTTACTTTGTAAATGCAACTTTTAAACTACCTTATATCGTACTAGTTTTACATACATTTTAGGCTAAACAGATGCAAGGTCTTATGATAATGACTGCAGTACATGCTGCTCTGCAACGATTCGTCGGAGTAGATTTATCAGAGGGTAATACGTTTTGGTTGTATCAAACTTACTTTTTCTCAACCAATGTACTTAGAGTAGATATTTGTATTGAATTAAATGAATGAAACAGTATACCATACAATGAAGATTTAACAGATGAAATCATGACAGGGGATAATCTGCGGGAGAAAAGGATTTGTTTTTCATGTCGACTAATTAGATTACCTTATTTATATTGGAAATAATCTTGACTGCAAGCAATCGTTTGTTTTTTTTATCTATTACGCTGTTTGCTAATTCAATAAATAAATAAATTTATTTATTAGAATCTGCCCCAATAAAAGTCTTGAAGGAAATATCAATGAAATTACGTCCACACGAAGTCCAGAAACTTGAAGAGGTCAACGATTTGACAGAGAGCGAAAGAAACGATATCAAATCTGGTGCCAGTCCCGTTCTGCTAATGCTGTTAAGGAAAGAACTGCAAAAGGGTTTTGGACTTAACTTAGAAGGTAGAAATACATTTTTGAAATGGTTTAAGTTTCATTATCAGGTTACCAAATGTTTAGTTTTGTTTCTTTAGTGGACGTAAACATAAAAACAATGAGGTATATGTTACATGAAGAGATGAAATATTCTGGTCTATTACTGCTGTAAAATAAATAAATTTTTTAATGCACTGGCTGCAATAAACTCCAAACTGTGTCACAAAGTGCTTCATATGAAAACAAAGGTTCATCAGGCCAAGTCTATTTAAACGTTACTTAATCAATATTTAAGGTTGCGACAAGGGAAATTACTGTCCATCAGACTGCTTTTAATTATTATAATGGTTATGTGCAGTAGATACCTAATCGTCGGTATGTAATTGTATGTACCTTACTCGATGCAGACTTGATGTTTACGTCCACAACAGAAATACAACTTCTTTTCCTCTGATCACTAATTATGTGATCATTTATGTAAAGACATTTTGAGTCCTTTCTTATAGCAAATTTCTTTTACACCAGACTCATATTGCTGGCTTTTAACAAGCTTGTTTGTCGTTACACTTGACGTTGCAACCTGTTTGCATTGTACATGTTTAATAATGATGTTTGTGCTATGTTATTTCAAAAAGTAATTTTTAGCATTTTTTTAAAAAGACAGACGATCAGTTTCAGGCTATTACAATATCCCCCTCCCGAGCAATGAATAAAAATCATTCCTGTTGGGATTCCATATATAATCTCTTATGTACTGACTCAAAATAATAAAGAACTATTTGACTGTAGTTGCGGACAAATGTCTTCTGTTTTAAGGAAATGCACTTGTCAAGTTATTTAAATAAACACCGAACATTTAAAATTGTAAATTTTAAATTGTTACTTCATTTGCTGATATTGTTTTTTCTTTCTTTATTTACTTTAAGAATTCCTTACAAAATGTTTGATGACAATAAATCGAACAGAGCTTCTTCAAGAATTTCACGAAAAATTTGCAAAATATGCAAAAGATGATATAAACCCGTCTGATGGAATATCAGCCACAGATACGGATGAGGCTAAAACATCTCGGGAACCACATATCAACGATATAGCAAATAATGTTAAGTTAATATTGGTCAAATTAAGTGAGATGGACCAAAAAATAAATCATTTACCAGAGTTTGGAAAGCTTGACAGTGAATTGAAAGCTTATCCTCATAGCCTCTACAAAAAATTTATGGAACATTCAAAATCTTCTTGGTGACACTAACAAGATTATTTTGATAAGAAAACAATACATACATTTCCAATTATTGTGAAGATACATTCTATTCCTCTTTGAAATACAGACGTTCTTTTCGTTACGTCGAATGTTTAAACAGCAAAATGTCAAAGTATATATTCCATTCCTACTAATAGAAAGGATTGTCATAGGATTGGATAATGGTTAAAATAATATCGTTATATGTTTTATATTCCACGTTTATAACTTACAGTCAATGGTTTGTTTTATGCTTGCTCAAATGTTTAAACAAGTTTACATTTTGATTTAATACTAATTTATTTGACGACGGAATAAAGACTAGTTTGCTCCGAACGAATTGCATCATTGTAAATATTTGGGGCCGGTTTGACATAGTCTGTGTGTGTGCGCGCGTGCGCGTGCGCGCGTGTGTGTGTGTCCATTCACATCAAACCTATCACAACTGAGCTTTATTTTTAATTCACTGTATAAGAGTGTTATTTACTTTTTTTTTAGAATTTTGCATGAAAACGTTGCTTATGTATGAAAAGTGTCAATTGATTATCATGATTATATTTTCTTTATTTTTTATTGTTTGTTTTTGGCTATGAAAATTACCCGTTATAACGTGAACAGACATCATTCGCACTGGCTAGAATTATTTCGTAAAGTGCTTTACTGTATTTATTCACTTCAGGTACACCACGTTACCTATACAAATTTGAAACCTTTTTTATCATTTGAAAAAAATGACTTTTGAATTGTTGCTACAGTATTTTATTTAAGGTTTTATGCCGATATCGAATAAGTTCACCTATATCGGAGGTCGCCTAAATAGTAATAGCCAATTTATCTGCAAGTGATGGAATACAACATTAGAACGATGTTTTTATTAATCTGCAGTGAGAGACAATTAACAATTAGACTCAATGTCCCTGATCGGTTGTCACAGAGCAATGTCGCTTCGCGCAGTAAAGATCTTAACACGAATACCAGTAGTTCTGTGTAGTTAACTACAAAATACAAACTGATGCTTTTTGTACTACATTACAGGAAAAAGCGATACATATTTCTATTTTGAATACTATATCAATTAAGTATCGATGCTTGATCTATGTTCAATTCCGCTGGACTGCAAATAACTTATGAATATAGTGTCCTGTTTATCTGTCATTTGGTGTTTTGGCGTGCCTAGTCTTATTATTAACATTATCGTTGAGTAATACTTTCGAATAGTACCAATGTTATGTCAGGACACTATTTATTAGGGAGCGAGGCAGAAAAAAAACATAAGCATGCTTTGTAACATATGCCTGCTTCATTTTTTCAAATTCCATGTTTATGCCACTTTCACATTCCTTGTAAAGATTCATTGTCTATTTGTTTTTCCCTAGATAATTTAAAAAAATTAAAACGTTATCATGAACTGAAGTTCATTGTTAAAGCCTTCGTCATTTCATGATGTGTTTAATATAAATTCATAAACTTTTTGTATGTCGATGTCTACTATGCTTGTGTTTAAACTACATGTTTTTCACCAATACAGATAGGTTTCATTGATTGCAGTAGTTTTGAAGTAAAGGCAATTTTCATTTTCTTTTCTTTTCATGTCTTTTATTCAGGGGAGTCTTTCAGATTAATTTTTTTATCGATCTCCTGTGGAATTCTTCTTTATTCCATATTAAATAGACAATTAATACTTGTAATTTTTCTTGTAATTGGTTTAAAAAAAAAAGCAACATGAAACACGTTACATATCACAACAAATCACGTCCGCATGATATAAAATTATCGTTTTTTATTTTAATGTACGTTTTTCTTATTGATCACTTAAAATCAATATAAGCTTGTTTACAATCTACAGAAAACACATTTATCATGTATTATTTGTACAATTGTCATTATGCAAACATTTCATGTCGACAAACGTAATTAATAATGTTTATCTCAAATTTATATCAAGAATACAGAGCGGGAAATAAATTTGACCAATTATCACTCCTATTTCAATTGATAATCACTATTTAAATGTATCATTTTATTATTCTCGCTTATATGCATATTCAAAGGTTTAAGTTATTCAAATGTACGTACATGTATACATATTTCAGATACGAGAAATTCTAGGCTTAAACAAATACTTTTCCTATATGTATATAAATATCACGTATATTGTACTAATGAACTATTTTAGGAAACAATTTTACGTTCGACATGACATGAATATTTGATATTGTGTGTGAGAAAGGGGACATAACGTTATGTCATTCTTCCTTACTTTTTTCTTCACTTTTATTTTCCCTTTAAAATAAAACGGCTCTCGCTCATAAATAGACAGTTGCGAAAGTACTTGGTATTTAATAAATCATCAATTAATGCCAAATTGATGCTTAATAAAACTACGTTTATCCATACGATACTTGGGGTAGGGGGTGGGGAAATAACTGTAGTGTTTTCCAACTTATGACCATGATTTGGTTACTTAGTAGATAGAGCATGTGTTTATATAAATAGTTTATATTGCATAACTTGTCTTGCGTCAGCCTGTAGGCATAAGTAAATAATGTTCACAAGAGAAAGCTTTGAGACTTGCGTGTCCAGAAACGCCTTTTTAAAAATAATTATAGATATTTATATATCTTTATTAGTACAGAAATACTATTTCAATTCATTCTCAATTTTTATGTTCAAATTTCATTTAAATGGTTTAAACAAAAATATATGTTTGTGATTATATATATGACAAGATAACTCTTTTATTCTTCATAATTCATTGTGTAATATATTATGTTATCTCCCTGTGTAAAAATTTGAATCACTTTTTTTTGTTATCCTTATGTCATGCATCAGTGCAATTTGATAATTTACAGTTGATAATGATAAATTACAGTTTCCACCATATAGATTTTACGTAAGAGCATTAGTGCCAGGTGTGTTATCTATAAACTCGAAATTTAAAATTTCCAGTAACTTAACTCGAAATTCCGACTTACTCACTTAAAATTTCGACCTATTCACTCAATATATCGACTTATTAACTCGAAATTTTAACCTACATACTCGTAATCCCGACTTACTTATTCGAAATTTCGACTTACTTGCTCAAAATATACTCTTAAAATTTCGACCTATTAACTCAATATATCGACTTATTAACTCGAAATTTTAACCTACATACTCGTAATCTCGACTTACTCAACTCGAAATTTCGACTTACTCACTTAAAATTTCGACCTATTAACTTAATATATCGACTTATTTACTCGAAATTTTAACCTACATACTCGTAATCACGACTTACTTATTCGATTCGAAATTTTGACTTACTTACTCGAAATATCCTCTTATTAACTCGAAATTTCGACTTTTGTAACTCGGAATGTTGTCTAATTAACTACTCGAATTGCATTTTTTCAATGATTTACTACAGCATTTCATATTATCCGCTGTGAAACATTTTTGCCTATGTCATATAAAGAAGTCGAACATGTGCGACAACCTTATTAAAAAAATGTAATGAACAAATTACGAAACAGAAATACCAATTTCAACATTAAGAAATATTCATCAGAAAAGTTTAAGTAGCATGATAATTGCATACTAAATTAAATTTGAGGGTTAAGGACAACTTGATAAAGAAAAACTGTGGAATTTCCATCTCTATCGTACAAACGCACTTTCTTCTATATCTTACATTATCTAAACTCTTGGTAGCTCACAACGCTATTCGCCGTTTTAGTAATGTAATTAAGTCGAAATTTCAAGTTTATAAGTCGGAGTATTGTGCAATGTAGGTCAAAATTTCGAGGAAGTAAGTCAAAATTTCGAGTTAATAAGTCGAATTTTCGAGTTACTTTTTCGCTATTTCGAGTTACTAAAAAAGCATGTTTTCTAGTAACTTGCACTTAAGTCGGAATTATTGTTTGATTACTTTAAGGGCATATAACAAACCAAATTGTACTGTATGTACATGTTTTCCTTTTATATGTTATTACAACATAAGAAATAAATAAATTCCATTTAAAATTAATACTTTACTTTTCACTTTTTTACAGTTTAAATAAGTTAAAGGAACTCCACTAAGGTTAATAAGCCTAAAACATAAAATTTTAATTTTTCGCATATATCAACTCGAGCACTTAAAACAGAAATATAAATAAAATACTACTAATTTATATACAGAAAATACATTGAAAATCTATGTTTGTGCTAGTCTCTGCCCGATATGAGTGAAGATCGTTTAAACGCTTTTCAATTTTGGGTCATTTTTCACTTCTATAATAATTATTATGGAAAAACGCAGCGAGTTAATGTCCTGAAATTTTGCAAATAAGTTATTAGTACAGATCTACATCAAAAAGAGTAATAATCTCAAACAAATTATTTCCAGTCCGGTTATGTCAAACACCTTTAGTGGAGTCCCTTTAAGAAAAAAAATTTTTTTTTTTAACAAAATGCCTTTTTAAACGACAATTAGCATATGTTGAGGTAGAACAGAAAAGAAATCACACTACTCTACAAAGTCTCGACATTGTACAGTCACTGAAAGAACGTAGGCTATATGAAACGTAGAAAAAATAAGGAGTTGTTTTATGCTTGGTTAGTTATTTACTGCCTTGAAAAGAAAAACTGTTCCAATTCAATGGCTTATAGCTCAAAAATGAGCATGGCGACTCCCGTTCATTTTTGTGTGATTTAAATATTTAAATCTTTATTTTATACACAATTTTGATAATTTAGATCATACACATGTCATAGTGCCCGCCTCTGTTTATATGTAACTACTGTATACACATCAAAATTATTAAATAAAATTATACGTTCGGTCATCTCATGAGCGGCATCATGGCGTGCAATATGATATGTTTGCTATTTGTTAAGACTTTACATTTTATAAAATTTTAAGTGTGTTTTTGTAGAATTATATAATGTACAAGTTCAAAGGCCCATGAACTCGTTGAATAAAACAATATTATGCTTTCCAGAGGCTCGCATAATATTATTTTCTTCAACTCGTGCAATAAATTCAGTACTGAACTTACACAAATTTAATATCCTCTATAAAAGAGAAATGTAAATTAACAAATGTTATCATGTGGACTTATGAAACAAGTATGGTAACTGCAGTATAGAAATAGTAATTGTATATAGTGTACATTATGTTGATATTTTATAAGTTGCTAAAACATTCACATGATAAATATATATCTTAAGTACACAAACAATTCGTGAACGCTATTACATACTTGAGTTACTCCGAAATCCCAAGTCTACGATCAACACATCAGTTAATTAATATGATAGTCTATGCATGTATCAATAGCCAACAATTTTCATCCAAATTTAATTCACTTTCCCTGCAATATGTACTAAATCTGAAACAAAAAAAAATATAAACAACAACGCTATTTAAGATAGTGAAGGCGTATACACATATTTTGATAGTCTTTAAAAATAATATGCTGTTGAACATTTCTTCTTTCACTTTATCGTGTTATATACGCTCGTATATATGTATATATGTAATAAATATGATACATATTACTAGTTTACCTCTTTATTCAATGTTTATATTGTGTGCATCCTT